AAAAAACTTTATGGAAAGTGGCCACCTGGAACAGCATCCTGTAAAAAACCTGCAAATCGTGAAGTATCTGGAACGCAACTAGTTTAAGAAATACGGTACGGTGTAGTTATTTGTACAATGATGTTGAGTATTTGTGTCCAAACGCGTGAGCCGATTTTAAAACTTTAACTACACGTGTAGTGAAAGAATTAAACTTTAAATTACAATAAAGATTTCAAATTTCCGAGCACTAGTTAATTAATAATTATGCAGTTTTTTCTTTCCGCAAATTCCTTTGCCTATGTCCTCATTCTCCTGCATCAGGTCGACCAATCGCACAAGTTGCCTTTTGTTGCTTACAATAGTTGATCTGTAATTCAGACACATACATACATATGTATGTATATTCTAAAATTTTTTAAAACTTCCAGCTCAATTGACTTACTTTTTATCCATTACAGTACCACTTTCTTGTGTAAATTTTATAAACGCAAACTCCAACGACTTAAAAGCAGCAATAGAAGGATGAGCGATTAAAAAGTATTCACAGTCGTTAATTTTTTGAAAACTAGGGGGAGGGGCGAGCTCGAGCACCCCCCTGCCCCTACCTGGCTACGCCCATGGATGTGCAGCTAAGCAAAATATACTGTAGTCGTTTATCTACTGCCAGTCGACATTCGCAATACGGGTGAAAATTCTGTTCAATTCACTTTTTTATTGCATGTTTTATAATTTTTGAATTTGAAAATTTGTTCCATTTTTCTTTTAACTTTTATATCTTTCGCCGGGCCGCTGACATTCAGCCGGGCCCGGGTCAATTGACCCCACTGACCCCCCTCTATCGACGAACCTGTGTATGTAGGTATGTATTGTGCATTTAGTAAAAGTAGCAGTCAGTTGTACAATTTTTGTGTCTAACCAAAGAGTACTGAAATGTACTGATTTTTTGCTCTCAAAAAGCCGAAGGTACTGAATTTTGAGAAAAAAATCTGGCAACCCTACACTTGGCATTTCCAATTGGCGTCAGTTGACATAGAAGAGAAACGACTGGAGTGCTTTGTTGTACTCGGCCAAAATCGCTTAGGTGGTTACAGCGCCAGACAAGAAGAAAAATAGTTTTCTAAGACAGTCGGGTCTATGTAATCGGAACAACCCTGATATATGTATGTACATATACCTGGGCTGCCACAAGTAGAAGAACAGGTAGATTAATTTATATACATTTTACTGTTTTCCTAGTATCACGACATACATACTCACCACGAACTAAATTTTTGTTTTACATTATTGAAAGATATTTGTGCAACAATGCATTCAATAAATTGTTCGTTTATATTAAAAGTTTTTCTCATTCTTTATTAACGTATAACAATAATCATTTTTTAACATTATAGGTAAGCACGATTTAAGAATAAAAAAGATTTGTACAAATTCTTGAAAAGATAAGCAATAAACCCGACGATTTGTATATCACTATGCTTAACAGTTTTCTAACTACACTTGTGTGTTGTAAATTTTAAGTTCCATGTAAATTGGGATGATGCCCTATGTTGTTGTAAACTGCTTTTGCGACCTCTTCCTGCAAAGTTGATGGCGGATCGGAAAGAATGTCTGTCTTCATTGACAAGTATTTCAACTTATTTGATACCGCTAAAATAAAAATAAAAGTAAGTAAAAAATATCTTTGAAATACATTTTAATATCGAGACACACCTGGTCGTAGGTCAATTAAGGAACAATGCTGGTCAACCCATAAAAACGCCGTACGTCGTAATTCTTCCAAACTGGCACTAGACACAGACGAAGTATATGAGGTCAGCAGGGGTTCCAAAATAAGTCCCAACTGTTAAAAGGAAATAATGAATCTATATGCAATACATCGACGTACATACTCCATATGTAAATAGGTATACGGGGATATATCGTCGCCCGGATAAAAGATTGTCGCATGTTAATTTCGGAAGTTTTTGGGAAATCGCGATTGAAGTTTGGAATGCAATTTTTCAAAACTGAGACGATAGACTTTCTCCAAAGTCTCGGAAAATGTTACTAGTTCACGAAATTCTTAAATTATTTTATTTTTATTGTTTATTGTTAGAGCCAGTTTTTCAGTGCGAGTTTAACTCTGTTTGCCATTGAAACTAAGTTGAAATTTAGTGTGCAGTTTGGCTGGGTTAAACCGAGTCACCAAACCGAGCTGCTGCCAAAATTTAGATGAAAGAGGAGGAAAAACATTAAAATTGTTTGCGAAATACACGAACACAGACTCATTATAGCTGATTAATTAACAAACACGATATAAACCCAAATTTCATAATTTGGGCAAACGTTATGAAATTTAGCAAAATTTTACCAAAATTTTTAACTTCTTGATCAGCAACTCTAAACAAAATATTGGAATTCAGTTTTGTAGCCCATCAAATTTTAGTATAACAAAGTACAAATTTTAAGTATCTAGGACTTACCGGTGATTTTTGGCAATTTTTCTTGTTGTAGGTGCTCTGCATTTTTTTCATATAAAAAAAATTTCGAACATAAATTGCCAAAAATCAACGGAAAGTCATAGCATCTATAGCCCAAGCTCTTTCATTTGACACCTCATTTTCGAAAAGCGAACGAACGGTGCAGATCTGATGACTTGAAAAAAATGCCTTTGGGTATTATACATATTGGTTTTTTTTTTTGGGTTTTCTTATTTATTTTTCGATCTGTAACTTTTTAATGAACAAATAAAAAAGTAAAAAAATGGTGCACGAGGATCATGGTTCAATAGTATATTGTATAATAGAGCACACACATAATTGGCAAATTTTCCAACTGCAGACGATATGCTAATAAAAATTATGAATTTTTACTTAGGTGCACGCATCGTAACGTTTTAAATAAGTTTTTGTTTAACTATCTTCTAATGAGAGCACATAGGCCTGCCCCGTTTACATTGATTCCTTTTATGCTCCAGAACACTTTACAAGTTGTCCGATAACAGTTTTAGGTACGCACCAACCACAGTATACTATAAAAGCCACGGGTATTAGAATTTCAAAAAAGGAGTCACGCCACTTTGACTATTGATAACTTCTTTTCTATTGCAACCAATACTTCTAACGGGTTGCATTCGATTCTGCTCTCCAAATACTACCAGTTCATTATAAATTCAAAAATGAGCAATCAACGCACCAAATTTTGCAACGTAAAAATACAAAAATAATAGGAGTCACATTTTTATTTGTGAAAATTTGCCAGTTTTATTTTTGAATTGTATGCATATTTGGCCGCTGTGGTGTAGTGGTAAGCAGTGCGCGCTTTCACTCATCAGCACCTGGGTTCAAACCCTGGTCAAAGCAACATCGAATAAATATAGAAAATAGGTTTTTTATTAACAGCGGTCGTCCCTCGACAGGCAATGGCAAACCTCTGAGTGTATTTCTGCCATGAAAAACAGATTCTCATGAAAATACAATCGCCGTTCGGAGTCGGCGTAAAACGGTAGGTCCATATTGCCGTCGCAGTCATTTTTACAAAAAGTAAAAAATAAGAGATCATCTTTACACTTACATATAGTATTCATACATATACACAGATGTGTGGTAACATTAGTATGCCACAAGATATATGTATATACGTACTAATGTGTATACAAAAGTCGGACGGATTTAGTAAAAAAAA